AGTTTTAAAATTAATTCAGGTTTAATTAGTGGTTTTAATATACGTTTTAGGACCTTACCTGATTGTTTATCACATGGTAAGGGGAGAGATAAAACTTGAATGGGAAATTTGGTCTGAGTTGTGAGGAGTGATCAGCTGTCCTCCTAAACACCACAAACAACCTAAAGAAACTAATTTAATGGTGATAACTTTTTTTTTCATTATTCATGTATCTAACGCACAGTTCTCTTATTTAAATATATAATTTTATATATATTTAATGGTTTTATTAAACTATTGAAGATATATATAAAGGTTGAAATTGTATTTAATAGTTACGTAAACTACAGTATGTTGGTGATTTAAATTCTTTTTCGTATTTCAGAAAAGATAAATAATACTGCTAGATATATAAACCGGTCTAATAAAATATATATAATTGAGATAAATATTCTTTATGTAACATTAAGATCTTAGGGTAATTTCAGTTTGGCATAATTGGCTTTATTTATGTCTCTCTGTACAGTAATGAATGAGGGACATTTATTCTCGCTAGAAGTGAAAGTAAGAACACCGTGTTCCCTTTCTCCCTTATTTTCTATTATCAAAAAAAATATTATGGAACTATAATATTTTATGTTAATATTCGTCCATTGGCTGTCCGCAAGATTTCAATTTTCAATATTACAGCTACAAAAAAAAATAAAACATACGACTTCATATCATTTCTTGTGCAAATCAATATTAACGGAACATTTCACAAAATTTCTAGGAGTAAATTTCTGTACCCGCCATGTTGCCAGTCACTTGTCTCCTCCTCTTCGCGACATGAAATGACATGACCTTCAGGTATCATAGCATTTGAATTGGCTGGCCAATCATATTGAAGCAGCAGAGTTGTCACATGTATGATAATTATCATACATGTATGATAACCACAAGGAAAGAAGAAAACACGAAGTTCCCAAGCGCTTTCGTGTAATTCACATCTTCAATTACACGAAAGCGCTTGGGAACTTCGTGTTTTCTTCTTTCCTTGTGGTTATCAGCATATAACTAGATCACGCGCACCTACAGTGATTTACTTGCATGTATGAGAGCTGTGCAACGAGCTTGCAGAGCCCCTGAAGCTCCTGTTTTGTAAATGCCTGGATGAACAAATGGTCCCCAGTGAATGGAAAGTGGCTTATGTGAGTCCTATCTTCAAGAAGGGCGATAGTCACTCCACGAACAACTATAGACCGGTGAGCCTGACCAGCATAATATGTAAAGTACTTGAGAGTATTATCAGAGATGCAGCGATGGAACATCTACTACGAAACAACCTTGTAAAAGATTGCCAACACGGTTTTATGCCGGGCGCTCTTGCTTAACACAATTGCTCAAGGTATTGGATATTTGGACCCATATTCTAGAACGGGGTGGTAATATCGACAATATTTACCTAGATTTTGCCAAGGCTTTCGACAGTGTACCCCACGAAAGGCTGAAAATCAAACTGGAAGGGTACGGAATTCGGGGAAATGTCCTAGCGTGGATAGAAGACTTTCTACATGACCGCAAGCAGTGTGTGGTGATTAATGGCACGAAATCGTCATCTGCACCTGTAACAAGTGGGGTACCACAGGGCAGTGTATTGGGCCCGCTGTTTTTGTTTGTTTCATAAATGACATGCCTGACGTTGTACACTCCTCCATACAAATGTTTGCCGATGATGGCAAGTTATTTCGGGAAATTAAGAACCAAGCGGACTGTGAAGAGCTGCAGAAGGACCTCTGTGGGCTCCAGGAATGGTCGAAGAAATGGCTGCTGAGATTCAATGTCACGAAGTGTAAGAGGATGCACCTGGGGCGTACCAACGGTAAGGAGGCGTATCATATGTCCCAACGGGATGAAGAAAATGCACTAATTGAGACTGTATGTGAGAAGGACCTAGGTGTGTATGTTGACAATGAGCTGAAGTTCTCGGGCCATTGTAAGAAGAAGGTAAATCAGGCAAATAAATTATTGGGTCTTATAAGAAGGTCGTTCAGATATCTAGACGGTCCGTCCCTCGTGACGATCTTCAGGAGTGAAGTGCTTCCCCATCTGGAGTACTGTCACCTCATCTGGTCCCCGAAATATGCTAGGGATTGTCAGTTGGTTGAAAATGTTCAAAGGAGGGCCACCAGACTGGTGCCTGCACTTCGGCACCTCAGCTACCCTGAGAGATTGGAGCGCCTGAACTTGCCTAGCTTATACTACAGATGGGCAAGGGGGGACCTAGTTGAGGTGTATAAGCATCTCAGGGGGGCACTACTCAGTTGAGTGTCCTTACTTGGAGCTGGCGGACGCTCGCCCCACAAGGGGTCACAGCTCAAGATTGAAGAAGCCGCAAGTCCAGAAAACCGTGAGGGCAAACTTTTTCGGAGTGAGGGTTGTAAACTCTTGGAACAATCTACCAGAGAGTGTTGTGACGGCACCGAGTGTGAGCTCTTTCAAGAGAAGACTTGACCAACACTGGAGCAGGTTCAGGTACATTCAGGAGCCGGTGCATGCCCAGTATTTGCCAACAGTGCGTGACAGAGACGTGACCGATCGCCCGGGCGGCTAGCGAGCCGATCTTTTGGTGAAGAATATAAATTAAAAGAGACGTGACCGATCGCCCAAGCGGCTAACAAGCCGATCAGTGGCGAAGAGGATAAAAGTAAAAAAAAGTAAAAGATAAATTCATCTTCGTCACGATGTACGATAACATTTTCTATTATCGTACGGTTTGTACGATAATTTTGGGTTGAATGTGAAAGAGTATTCAGCAAAATTATTCTCTTCAAAACCAAAGAAAGAAATAGTTTAAAAACTTAAACTGTAAATGGAGCTCTTTTCTCATCTGAGTGCCTCAAACGTTCAGGGTCATGAGTCAAATTTTTGCCCTCTGAAGATATTTTTTTAAGATATGCTTGCAGGTATATCTAATCACGCACAATTTTTTCACAACTTGACAGATGAGGTTCTTGAAGTAGAGGGCTAATGGTGATCACTGAAAATATATGTTTTAGTGTGGTCTTACTGAGTTATTAATCTTAAAGAGTTGGCACATTTAAGAATGATTTGAGTTTTATGTAAGTTACTGCTTACTCTTATAGAATGGCATTTACTGTATTCTTTTTTCCTGTAAATAAATTTTGTTTCTTTAATTACAGTGCAATCTTATATGATTTTCATTGCATGCCCTAGTTTTGACTCTGCAAAATAAAATTGGTAAATATATACCTGATTATGTACTGTGCACATCATTGTCATTCCTAAAAACCCCATTTAATTCATATTATGCTATATAACATTCAAATCCACCGCGCTTGTAGAACCTCAGAAAACGGGAAACATTGATAAAGGACAACTCACCTACTCAATGTTACTAGACCATGTGTTGTATTGTACCCAGGTATAGTTATATCATATTAATTGTATGTATTCATAGCATTAAGGAGAACTCAGGGTATGCATAAGATGAATGTTAAAGTCCAGTTGAGCCGGACTAGTGTACTGTAGGACTAAGTGTGGATCAGGGTTTGAACGTCATACTATTTACGTCTGTGAGAGTGTAGCGAACATAACTTCCACAGATATCATATGAAAATACATGAGAACAATGGTCTGGAAAAAGAATAAATGTATCAGAACTATGTGAGGTGTTGGAAGTGACCCAGAAACTATACTTGAAAGGAAATATCTTGTATGCGTCGGTATGAACTTAATACAGCTCGTATCCTCACGTGACATACACCCACGACAGGTACAGTGATCAGAGAATCTTATGTCTGTGTTCAAATAGTGCAATGTGTGAGAGGAGGATCCCTCATTACATGAAGAAAATTATAATGGGAAGTTTTCAATAAATAACCCGAGGTACACGTAATGATGATGCTTGGGAGTGCAATAACTAAAAAAATTATTTAATAATAACACACCATAATTCTACCGAAAAACGATAAATTTGAAGTTCCAGTACGATGATTCCTATTTAAAAATGTGGCACACTGTGAAGCAGCCGTCCACCGTGAACTTCGAATTTTTAAGGCTGGTGATGACACGCGAAAAGTGTTCTTTCCCTAATTTACCTGGTATTCAGCGAGTTTATGAGAACAACAGTGAAGCAATCCAAATATTTCAAGATGACGGTGTCTTACCAACATCAAGACTGTGTCCTACGTGTGGAAATTATTTACTTCTAAGAAAAGACGGAAATTCTGTTGTCTATAGCCATAAGCGTACCGTCCACCACAGGAGTAGGTTAGCTCCAAAAAAATGTTAGATTTTTTGTTGTAAATTAGCAGTTTCTGTTATAAATAAAAAAATTATGTTTTGCCCCCAAAACGCTAATTTGCACCAGAAATGAAGGTCAGATTTAAATAAAACACGCTGATACTAATTTTAATTAAGTTAGGGTGAAAATTGAAAGAAAATTGTAACATATGGAGTGATAACTAAAACATTTTTCTTTAATTTGAATTTGCCATTGTAGGTTATTTACAGTACATAAAACTTGGGTCAAATATTAATAAGGGTTATTTAGAAATATTATTTAGCGTTTAAATGACAGTTTTAGCCTTTGTTAAGTGATGACCTGTGCACGATGACTTGAGGACGATGACTTGTAGAATGTCGACTATGACTTATGGACGGTGATGATTTGAGTGGCTGCAAGAATGATGTCCAAACCCCGATTATCCCTCAAGGGACACTTTTTGTTGGGTTGTATGAGTAACAATGATAATTTATTTGATACTTTATGTTTTATAATCTACACTAAACAAACTCTTTACTGCTGGTTTGACCTAATTTATGGCCACAACTTGTAGATGTAATATTTGTATCCTTACCTCACTCGGTGTCCAGCTCGTCCAGTGTTGCTACTTTATTTGATTTTATATTTTTATTTAAACTTCCTCGACAGTTTGCTGGTGTCACTCTGTGCTTTAAGGTACAATTACCTGGTTCAGTGTTGTCGTTTGATCGATAGATTTATAGATAGACTGTTATATAGATAGATATTTATTCATTTAAATCGTCATACAAGCTGGGGCGGGCAAGTATGAACACTCGACTGAGTAATGTCCTCTACCTTACCATCTATTCACGTTTTGTTGTTTTGGCATCATTTTGTACGTCTCGTAAAGGCCAGATGAGAAACCTTAGTGATAATATGCCGACCACTAAGATCTGAGCGACCCAGAGAACAGTGGTGGGGGGAGTGAGGCCCAGTGTCCCACACAGGTACACTGCCACCACTGCCTCCATCACGTGGATTGTCATAACTGGTGTAAATCTGTAAAAAAATATGAGAATGTAAAAACAAAACACAAATGGTGAAGGAGTTAGTCATTCAATACATTTAAAGGCACAAATTATAAGTACAATTTGTATAAGAACAAATTTACTTAAGAAGGAACTTACACGAGCATCATGAAGGTGTTGTGCTCAGTACCCAGCCAGTGAAGAAACTGACCCAGTAACCCGAGGTGCTCATTCTTAAAGACTTCTGGACACTTCCACGTCAGCTGAAGGTACAATACACACAACAATTAACACTTATTTATACAAGACATTGAATATTAGGCCTTCGGTACACGAGGATATGGTGCGGCAGACTGTTTTCAGGTAGACTGTGTTAAATTGTCTTCAGTTACCAAATATAACGTCAGGTATGTAAGTGAGGTTCAGTCGCTCACAAAAGTCCTGTGTCGCCTCTCCTCCTGAACCACGAACCTCGAGATTAGAGACTCGTGAATCCGAAGCATTTATGGACAGAAAAATACATTAGTGTTTACTACTTCAGGTTCGCTAATCTGAATCTCGGAGCTCGTGTAACAACAGGGGAGGCGACCGGACCTCTGTGAGTGACTGTACAACTAGCTAACTACAGGTGTCTTGACTCACCGCCATCATGACGAGGCCTGAACCGATGAAGGCGATAATGCACGGGTGGACCAGAACAAAGTAGTGCGCACCTCCTCTCCCCTGGCTGGACATGACTACACTACCACACTCTATAGACGTAAACATCAACATAACTCGGAACAAACAATAAAAGTAATAAAAACAAACTTGAATAATATATTAGCTCACATATTACAATAAACATGTATGAAGGAAATAAAACATGTGTAAGAATTAATTAACGCAATTAGTAAGAATAATAGAATTTCCAACAAGCGTGAGAACACTACCATCTAGCGAGGAGAATGGCTAACCTAACCTAACCATACTAGGACGTTTTTATCGTCACAGGGAATAAACTAGGGTGTCCAATCTTCACGTCAGTCACATAGTACACTTTAGAACTTTAATATTCAGGATAATTTTACCCACCCCAATCCCAGCCACCGTGGAACATGACCATCTAAATGACTCTCAACTTTACATTAAAACCACCACCATCACCAAGTCACGTTCTCTGTCATTGAATATTTTATCAATCTATTTTATACTCATGATAATTTCTTAATTTCTTAATAAGTCTCTCCTGCGTTTGTGGTTTATTATCGTTTTATTTAATTATCAAGGTTGCGTATTTCTTTGGTGTTTTTTATTCGTCTATTTTCCGTAGGTAGTGTGTGGCGTCATAGGTAGAGTGGATGGTCAATTGTCTAGATCCACGGCTTTCTTATAAATATTACTTCTTATAATGTAGATATACTGTATATCAGGAACTATAATCACACACACACACTGGCATGAACAAATGGGAGAAATACACATAACTTACCAATTAAACACAGAACTAGGACGTGTTAACCTCACGCCACGGTGTCTCAGGGGTGACTGGCGTTCTTGTTTATTTTATTTGGTTTTAAACTTTAAAATATCCTCCTAAACAAAGTTGCCATCAACCACCAGAAATTTTCTCATAAAGTTAAATCCTCACGTAATCTCTATGGCAAAATCACCCTTATGCTTCATGAATCATTTTCATATAATATATAATATAATCACCATCATTATTATCTTTATTTATATTATTAATATATCTCATTTGTCTTATTATACATGTTTATATAATTTAGATAGATTCAGTAAAATCGTCATATAAGTTCACATTGATTCAGAATATATATAGAGAGAGCAGGTAGACAATGTATATAGTACAGGTATATAAACGATATACATAGTTACTGCAGGTATACATACCCATGTGCCAAGTTAGTATTATGTGGGGATTTTAATGAAATTGACACCACTGATATCCAGGACCAGCTATCACTATCACAAGTTGTGACCTTCCCCACACACGGTCAAAATACCCTTGACCTTATCTTAACTGACTTAGCGGACCAGTACCAACCACCTCAACCAATGCCTCCTATCGGGTGTAGCACACACTTATCAGTGCTCTGGTCCCCAGCTGCCACTCCCACTCAAGTACAGAGACCCTACATCAAGACCTACAGGCCGATTACTGACTCTGCAGTGCGCCTCTTCGGGCAGTGGATAGTTCACCATCCCTGGACTGAAGTACTTAGCGTGGATGACGTGGAAACCAAATGGATAAATTATACCAACACCACCACGGAAGCTCACCACCACTTCTTCCCCGAGAAGTCCGTCAGATCTCACCCAGCTGACTTGCCCTGGATCACACCTCGGATCAAAAGACTTATGCAACAGAGAGACAGAGCCTTTCATCTCAATGACCACATCCGCTACAGGTCCCTTCGCAACCGAGTCATCCGCGAAATACGCACTGCAAAGAAGTCCCACTACCCAACCAAATTACAACACCTGAAGCAGACCAACATCAGTCAATGGTATGGTAAGCTTAAAGAACTCTGTGGACTAAACAATAAGACACACCCCCTCCCCTTCCTTAGCCATCTCACTAATGTTGACGCAGCTGAGCAAACAAACAACCATTTCGCTACTATATGCCAGACGCTCCCCCGGCTTGACACAACCACTCTCCCTGCTTACCTACCAGCCCCCCTTCCCACTGACTTAGTAGAAGAATTTGAAGTAGCAAAACGCCTGGACAAACTAAAATTAAAACGCTCTACCACCCCCATTGACTTACCAATGAAACTCTTCAAGGAGTTCTCCCCGGAGCTTGCTAAACCCCTATGCTCCATCATCAATGCTTCTCTCAGTCAAGCCAGATGCCCAGCTGACTGGAAGACCTCTTATGTATCACCAGTGCCCAAGTCAACCAGCCCACAATCCTTAAATCAGCTACGACCTATTGCAATCACCCCAATACCCAGCCTAATCTGTGAAAGTTTTGTGTTCGACTGGGCTTATGCTGATATTGCAGGAGTCGTAGACCCTCAGCAATTTGGCAACATGAAAACTTCCTCCACCACTCACTGTCTTGTCAGCTTTCTCGATTACATATACCGCCATCTCGAGAAACGAAAAACGTCTGTAGCTGTCGCCTTCATTGATTTCACTAAAGCGTTCGACCTAGTCGACCACAATATAATCATCAACAAAGCTATTGACCTCGGGCTTCGGAGAAGTCTTATACCATGGCTTACAGACTTCTTCAGTGACCGACGCCAAGCTGTATGCTTCCGAGGGGCTGTCTCCACCTTTCAGTCACTCACCTGTGGCGTCCCCCAAGGCACCAAGATGGGACCACTCTGCTTCCTTATGCTCATCAATGATGCCCAAAGAGAAACCCCTGCTCGCTGGAAATATGTCGACGACTCCACCATTGGGATCAGCGTCAACAATTCTGCTCCCAACTATACCGCCCTTCAGGATTTATTGAACAGTCTCCAAAACTGGGCCACCAACAACCATGTCACCATCAACCATACCAAGACCATGGTTATGCACATCAACCTCTCCTCCGACATTGTCCCACCTCCTTCCATTACTCTAGGTCCGAACACACTCCAGGTTGTAGATTCCACGAAGCTCCTCGGCGTCACCATAGACAACAAACTAAATTGGAAACCACACGTCAGTGAAGTTATCAAATCCTCCAGTTTCCGTCTCCACCTCCTCCGCCGACTCAAGTCCCTCGGAGGCTCATACAAAAGAGGGCATGCAAGATTATTCTCTCCCCTTCCTACTCCACATATCAAGAAGCGCTCAACACACTGACCCTTTCGACTCTCACTGACCATCACCACGACCTCATCTGCAAATTTGGTAAGAAGCTTCTACACCATCCCGACACCGGCTCCTACTACCACCTGAGATCCCTAGTCCGAGAATTGCTGTTCGACACCACAACCGCATCCAGCCCATACGTGCACGAACTGATCGCTATAAGAACAGCCCAGTCCCAACCATTGTAAAAATTATCAATAACTTATAATAAATCAGTGTATTCACTCCCAGTAAACACTACTCCTTGCACTGTCACTATGTTGAAATGAACTGTAGTTTGAGCTTTTCCCCTCTAGTTACTATATGTCTTATTTGTATCACTTATGTTACTTGTATATTATTTGTAATTCGTAACCCATTCCCCAAATATGTAACTGTATATTTTCAGCCTTCTGGCTGCCAAGCTCTTTCAATAAACCGTTAATTATTATTATTATTATTATTATTATTATATAAATACTGTACAATGTACATACACAGTGAGAAAGATGTACATAGACAGTGCAGGGAACAGAATGCTAACTAGTAAGACATTTATTTAAACGAGAAAAAAATTCACCTGTGGAATTCCCCTGTGACCTCTTGACCTGACCTGACCTGACCACAGATTATAACCACACAACATCTGGCAATCTAACACCTGTGAAGATTTATTTTTTATCTGAGAACGCTGACACCTAAAGAGAGATAGAGGAATGTGATAACGATAAGGTTTAGGTGTACTGTACATTAATACGCTTACCCATACATCAAGGCCAGTAAAATTAGTTAGGTTAAGTCAGGTTAGGTTAGGGCAGGTTAGGATAGGTTAGGTTAGGGCAGGTTAGGATAGATCAGGTTAGGTTAGGGCAGGTTGGTATAGGTCAGGTTAGGTTAGGGCAGGTTGGTATAGGTCAGGTTAGGTTAGGGCAGGTTGGGATAGGTCAGGTTAGGTTAGGGCAGGTTGGGATAGGTCAGGTTAGGTTAAGTTAGGTATCTTAGGTTAGACTATAAGTTATAACCTCCAGGAGCTTCACTATCTTATCCTAGTAACTGCACGTCACAGATGGTCAAGAATTGGCAGTTGGGGGCGTGTAAGAGGAGGTAGCGACCCGTCACAGGCTGGGAGGGCTTGAAGGTCACCAACATCCCCCAGGGCGGAGCTGACCCTGGGAAGACGTCGAATACTGGGTTATCCACATAGTTACTTGAGTTACCCAGATAGACAGTGACGCCGAGGAACAGTGACTCAGTGAAGTTATCCCGCCTCGTCTGAACCAAGATGGAGGACACTCGAAGTGGCTGGCCCAGGTCGGCCCTCCACCAGGAATTAAAATCATGTCCGGAGGTGAAGCAAAAGTAGTTGGTGGCGTTGCAGAAGAAACCACTGACGGCGTATTTTGCAAGACGTTGTATACCAAACTCGGCCGAGGAGGAGACGCTCACGATGTGGTGTGTGAGAGAGTTGTTGACGTGCCAGCTCGAGTAGCACTTGTCGTACAGGTGAGTTGAAGGTCCAGCTTGTCCTCTCCAATGAACAGACACCTGAGCGCTGAACACATTACACTTATTACCTGCAACACAACACACTTGAAAAGTAACACCTAATACCATAGCTCACCCTTGAAGTAAAACCTAATACTGTACTATAGCTCACCCTTGAAGTAGCTCACCCTTGAAGTAACACCTAATACTCATAAGCTCACCCTTGAAGTAACACCTAATACTATAGCTCACCCTTGAAGTAACACCTAATACTATAGCTCATAGCTCACCCTTGAAGTAACACCTAATACCATAGCTCACCCTTGAAGTAAAACCTAATACTATAGCTCACCCTTGAAGCAACACCTAATACCATAGCTCACCCTTGAAGTAACACCTAATACCATAGCTCACCCTTGAAGTAAAACCTAATACCATAGCTCACCCTTGAAGTAACACCTAATACTATAGCTCACCCTTGAAGTAAAACCTAATACCATAGCTCACCCTTGAAGTAACACCTAATACTATAGCTCACCCTTGAAGTAACACCTAATACTATAGCTCACCCTTGAAGTAAAACCTAATACTATAGCTCACCCTTGAAGTAACACCTAATAGCTCACCCTTGAAGTAACACCTAATACCATAGCTCACCCTTGAAGTAACACCTAATACTATAGCTCACCCTTGAAGTAACACCTAATACTATAGCTCACCCTTGAAGTAACACCTAATACCATAGCTCACCCTTGAAGTAAAACCTAATACTATAGCTCACCCTTGAAGTAACACCTAATACTATAGCTCACCCTTGAAGTAACACCTAATACCATAGCTCACCCTTGAAGTAACACCTAATACCATAGCTCATACTATCACCCTCACCCTGAAGTGCTCACCCTTAACACCTAATACCATAGCTCACCCCTTGAAGTAACACCTAATACTATAGCTCACCCTTGAAGTAACACCTAATACTATAGCTCACCCTTGAAGTAACACCTAATACTATAGCTCACCCTTGAAGTAACACCTAATATTATAGCTCACCCTTGAAGTAATACCTAATACCATAAGCTCCCCCTCCTCTTTCACTTTTCTTCCTTTCCTCCCCTCCCTTCCCTCTCCCTCCCCTCACTCTCCCCTCTCCCCAGTAAGTATTTGAACCCTCTCGAGCAACATCCGCGTCGACCTCCTCCCCTCTTCCCTCCACCCCTCTCACCTCTCCCTCTCCCCCTCACCTCTCCCCCTCCCCTCACCCCTCCCCTCCCC